TTCGAATTATCTAAATTCGGATTAATCCTGTAGTGTAGACATACCCTAAGGGGAGTTCAGCTCTGGAACTGGCTTCCAAGGGAGGTTGTGAAATCCCCGTCACTGGAGGTTTTTAAGAACAGGCTGGACAAACACCTGTTAGGGACGGTCTAGGTTTACTTGGTCCTGGCTCAGCACTGGGGGCTGGACTTGATGACTTTTCGAGGTCCCTTCCAGCCTGACATTTCTGTGAATGCAAATAAAAAATGAATGAATAAGGGCCTAAATCTGGTCCCATGTTACCCTGAGAACTGAAGTCAATGGGGCTGCAAGGGGGCCCATATTTCAATTGAACCTTAAACCCGAGGGCTGGACTGAATGGTGACTTGAACTCCCTGGCAATCCCATGACTCTTTCTGCAAGATGAGAGCAGCTGGCTCTGGTGACTTGGCCACCTTCCCATTTGGGTAATTACGAGGGCTGGTTGGCTAGAAAATGATTTTTGGTTCAACAAAATTTTTGAGATTTTGACTTTTCGTCCCAGTTTCACACAGGAAAATTTTTCAATATCTTGAAAATTTGTGTGGGGTGGGAAATCCATTTTCTGCCCAGCCCTGGTAATTACATGAGTGTAAAATTGCTCCTGTAGCTGCAGTTGGCTACATTGAGACTTTTCACTTCCTGCCCTAAGGCACTGCGCAGTGCTGCTGTGGGGCTGTCAGACAGCTGCCCCGCTCCACCCCCACAGTGGATGAAGACATTTCTATACTCAGCAAAAGGGCCCAATCCTGCATGGTGCTGAGGCACTTCCTGTGAAGTGCTGGGCACCCACAACACTGAGCAAAGTCAAGGGGCGTGGTGGGTGCTCAGCGGCTGTTAGGATCAGCTCCTACCTTCTGTTCCGTAAAGCAATTTACATTGTAACGCATTGTCGCTGGGAACCTTATGGCAGTAAATAGGGCTTTGTGCCATTGTCGATCAGTGTTATTCTGAGGGTTATACTTACAGGAACTGGGCTGGGCAGACATTGTGCTCGAATAGCGTTATGATTTCTGTGGTCTTGTCTGTATTACCACTGACAACATTTAGCCCTTTAATAGCGAGCCTGGGGACCTGATTCTCATTTGCGCTAGGCCCCTTTCCACCATGGTAATGCACCGGGGCTTGGAAGTGGGTGTGAGTGTAATTTATGCTCCTCTAAACTCTTCCTTACATTGGTGCAAAGGGGAAGCTGTGTCATTTTGAGTAATGCCCTTCGGCTAGAAATCAGGCAGAATCTTGGCCAGTCCAGTCGTCCTTTGTCAGGCCAAACTCCTGCTGCCAAGTAACACTGCCTCAGTCAGGGACTGCAGGATTCTGGTCAAGTAGCTCCCTAAGAAGGAGAGGGCAGAGGGTCGGGAGGGAAAGGAAGATGGTCCCCAGCATTAGAGAGCTGCCTGGAAGGGGTTGTGTCATAACGATCCCCACTTTGCCAGGGGAACTGCAGCCAGTCAATGCAGCCTTAAAAATGGGGTGCAGCAGGCTAAGGAGAAGTGGCCAAGGCACCTAGGGAATCGGGTCTTTTCTGAGCCAATTGTTCTAATCACTAGACCATGTTGCCCTCTATTGTCAGCTGTTTCAGAAGGGTCACTGACAGATGCACTTTACTTCTCTCTCCCTGCTTTGTGCAGTGAGACGCAGATTGCTAACCAGCCCCTTTCAGCTCATTTTAGCCAGTTCATAGCTAGATCCAGGAGGAGGCCCTTAACTTCCTTTCATTTCAGTAGGAGTGAGGCCCCTAACCCTCTTAGCCATGTTTGAAAATCCCACTAGGTGCCTCTCTGCATCTATAGGCACCCAAATACTTCTGAAAATCTGACCCTAAGTCTCTTGAAAAAGGGACTTGGGCAATTTTGGAAATCGTATCCTTCATTGTCTTATTTTTCTCACATGTCAGAGCTTTCAGTTTGATGATTTAAAATGCAATTTAAGTCCTCCAAGACAAGACTCCAAATGATTGTTACAGGTCCGCATTGTACCACCAAGAAAGATGGGACAATTATGGACCAATCTTGGATAGCTGGGGAGAGACTTAGATTGGGACTGTCAAAAACCGTAAGTGATTTAGAAGCATTTTCCTTTGAAAGTCAGTGAGACTTGTTCTCTGAAGTCATGTGAGTTGGTTTATATAGCTCATCCACTGAAGACACTGTGCCATGTTCTGGATGTTTAAAATTATTCTCAATCATTATAGTACACCCCTGTGCCATTGGAATGCAGAGAAATGCTGTACCCTCTGTAGAGTCTTTACCCCACCCCTCTAGTATCTATCACCACAGCACATCCTCCTCGGAGGCGTTCCTCACTGGAAATGACCGAGACACTGAACCCAGTCACTGCAGCAGTGCACTAGGCATCAGCCTTTGGGCCAGTGTGTCAGGATTTTCTTTTCCTTTTTTTTACAAAAATGATCTTTGCCAAGTATCTGGTTTTATCTTCTTTAGGTAAAACATCTGCATTAAGCTTTGGAATTGGGAAAACAGCCTCTTCAGTAGGACATCAGTGTTGAATATCTATGATATGTTTGGAAACTTTTGCTGGATATAAATTGCATTTCCATTTAGTTGTACAAAGTTAAAGCAGGTTTTTTTTAGCGGAGCATAAATATTATCAGACTAAGTATTTTCTGGACTAGCCAGTTTATATATGGCTGTTGGAGACTTGATGACGGACACTGACTATAACGATATTTTATTTCTCCAGTGGTAGGAGTGCAGTTATTTCTGTACCAGACTCAGCGGATCCTGTTCGTTGAAGTTAACGGCACTGCAAAGATCCACTGTTCTTCCACAGAAAAAATGGAAGGAGGAGACGTGTTTTGGTATTTGAGACGAGAAGGTGAGACACCCACGTGCATTAAGTACTGTTTGGATAATCTAAATGTAAGTAAATTTGCTTGCAAACATGAGACACACCTCTCGACACTGGAAATCAGCAACGTCCAAAAGAATGAGACTGGCGTTTACTACTGTGCATTTATATACAGCAGCTACCTGCTTTTTGGAAATGGAACCACACTGATCGTTGGAGGTAAGGAACCACAGCTTCTTTAAGGAGACTCATAATTGATTGACAAAGCATATTTCATGTTCCTATTAAAATGTAACAAGATACCTTAGCTACTGAGAAACAGTTAAAAGAAAAGCATACTTTAGATCAAAAAGATCAGCTGAACATTAAATGCTATGGGCAGAGAAGGAATATAATAGGTGTATATTTCATAACTAGAAAACTTCACATTTGAAAATGTTGAAAGTAAACCTTTGCAGTTTCTCTGTGACCGTTCAAGCCACCTAGGTTGGCAATATTCCTAGCCTAAGAGCCATGACTGCATAAAACAATATTTTGAGTTAATGAAATGTTCTTAAGAGTGCATCTCTTTATAAAATTGCACACAATTTTCCTTCTAGCAACTGTGGATATTTATTGCGTTATATCCTAGTTGGTGTTGGCGTTTTGATTTAATACTTCTCGCTTCAACAGATTTTTTTTTAATTAATGTCTTAGGGGAAGATTTATGCAGTGTTGTTATAGCTGTGTTGGTCCTAAGAGACAAGGTGGGTGAGATAAAATATTTTATTGGACCAAGTTCTGTTGGTGGGAGAGACAAGCTTTTGAATTTACACAGAGCTCGCCTGTAGATCCGGGAAATTACACTCTGAATATATTTCCCAGACCTGGAGAAGAGCTCTGTGTAAGCTTGAAAGCTTGTCTCTCTCACCAACAGAAGTTGGTCCAATAAAAGATTTTACCTCACCCACCTTGTGTCTGAGTGAAAGGTTAACATCTTTAATCAGACTGCAGATCATTTGATCATCGCACTGAATTCTCCACCTCCTTCTGCTCAGACAGTTATACCAACAGCAGCTGGGTGATGCTTCTGGTCCCATTTCCACATGATATTCAAGTCACTGGGACAGCGAATCTGGCCTGTGTGATCCAGGGAGTGTCCAGCCCAGTTCATGTTTCCTGGAGTGTTTCTGGGGAGCTGCAGGAACAGGGGCTGACGCGCTCATTGAAAGCAAGAGATGGATCTTTAACGCTCATAAATCCCATCAGCGTCCCCATGGACACCTGGACCAGTGGGAAGAATTTCACCTGTGAAGTCAAATTCAACTCTTCTGACAAGAGTGTGAAGAAAAGTACCAGGTATCCTGCAGGTGAGTGATATTATATTTGAGGTTAAGGGAGACTCAGATGTGAAATAGATGTCAAGTGGCCACACTCAGAGCAGCTTCTACGTAACTTTCCATCACAGAAAGCTGGAATAGTCTATGTCTTATTAGTTAGAATTTCTCTAGAGAATTTGGGGAAAGATAACGAGACATTACAGGGATCACAAGACAATTTAGTCGTGACCTTTAGGGCAGCTTTCACCCAGATTTTACAGGGATTCATATGTACAGAGGCATTTGAGAAGACATGCTCTCTAATTAGATATGCAAAGTGATGGAGAGGCAATGAGATGAGGAGAAACCTCCAGAGAGGACTTTGTAGATATGCAGAGAATTTTGGGAAAGGAGATGAGGAATTGCAATGTTTACAAGACAATAACTTCCTATGGAAACTTTCACACCAACTGTGTCTATAAAGCACCCTACCGAGTTAAATGACAGCCAGTGTCAGAGGGAGAAGGGAATAGAGGTACTGTGGGTGCAGAGAGCTGTTTCCTGGTGAGATGTGGAGAGGCGATGAGGTGAGGAGAAACCTACAGGGAGGATTTTGTAGATGGCAGGAGGTGCAGAGAAGATTCTGATTACAGGAGAAATCATCGGCCTAATGCCACGGGCACAACAGAGAGACTGAAAGGTGCTGAAGGCTCCTGTAGCCTCACTCCTCAGGGGTTAAGGCCTGTGTTGAAATGGGGATCAGGAGGGAAGAGCTGGATGTGGTGGCATCACAACCCTCTTTGCGGAAGTCAGGCACATGTATCTCTTTTTTGGCTTCCTCCACAGCCCCTGACAGCGAGTGCTCACATTACATTGGGCCCCTTGCGGCTGGTGCTGCTCTGCTGCTGCTGTGGGTGTCTCTGAGCCTCGTCTGGACCCTCTGCCCTTCCACTCTAGGTAATAAACACTGCCCAGCCCAGACACTCTCCCACAGAGAGAAATCCTACTCCCCTGCTTGCTACTGGGGACTGCAACTGTCCCGTCCAACACAACACATGTCACAACTGCCAGGACTGATCTCAGAATGTTTGTTTTCTGAAACTTGAATTTCCTGTGTCAGGAGAACGGCTTTGTTCTCCGTGACAAAGGGAGCGATGTAGAAAGGCTTCTACTGCCCATGGCCCAGGCACCTTGTGTATAGTTCACAAAGAGCACTAGCCTTTCTGATGAGCCTCTCTCCATGTGCCATGCAAGGTGGTGCTCTGCGCACCCACAGCTCGGATGCACCATTAGTCAGTAAACTACAGCTGGGGGAGTGACTGTGGAGGAGGAACTTTTACTGTTGTCTTTGTTTGTTCCAGGATTCCAGCCCAGGATCTCAGCACCCCCAGCTTCAGAGGAGAACCAGGTACGGCTCTTTGCAAACTATCTCTGTCCAAATCAATGTGTCTCTCAGGCTTTTCTAATTCATCAACTTCATATATTTGGCACTTCTGGAAGGAGGAAATGAAAGTGAGATCTAGCTTTTGAAGTAGCTGAAGGAGAGCACAGCGTTTTATTGCTAACTTTGCTATTAAGTTACTGTAGGATAGTGGGCAAGTCACTTAGTGCTCTGTGACTCAGTTTCCCCCTACATAAATAGTGGGTAACAAGACTTATGATGTTTTATTGGTTCTGACTGTGCCCTTAACAGGGTTTTTTGTACAGCTGGGAACATTTCTGGCACTTATAAGGTAAAGAGCTATAAGAAATTATATTTGTAAAGCACGTGAAGATTTTCCAGTGACAGGTGCTGTGGGCCTGATCCAAAGCTCACTGGACCTCAGTAGGAGACTGTCCATTGACATGGGGTTTGGATCTGGCCAAATATTGTCAATAGCTGATTCTTAAAGTCAGAATCCAGCGCTGGTTTCCATTCTGATAACACGCACAGTTTATAGGACAAACAGGAGAGTCAGAGATGAGGGAATTTTTCATCAGGCTAAACTCACTTGGATGTCTGGTTCTGTCTCAGCTTGTTTCCCTTCATTTTACAAGAAGGGGCTAATTTTCCTAACTGTCACCAAACAGGGTGGGATCTTATACGCTCATCTGGATTTTGATTCACGGAATCTCAACGGGCGCACGATGCAGCGACCGGCCAGAGGGAAACATGTAAAACTCTGAACTGTCTCGTGCAGGGGAATCCACAAGCGGAAACTGATGGCTGGTTCTCTGCTGATTAGAAGTAGACAGAGCCTTCTTCCAGCTGTCTGGCTGTCTATTTTCTTTTTTATTTTCTCCACTTCTCTGTTTAGAATATAAAGGTCAGAAGATCCCCACAGAGTCCAGCCTCATGAGGTGGGAAATCTCCTTTTGGGATATAAAGGCATCATGATGTAGACGACTTTACACTTCACTTGTGTATTAGATTGGAAGCTCTTTGGGGCAGCAACTGTCTCTTTGTTCTGTGTTTGTGCAGCACCTAGTACAATGGGGCCTGGTCCATAACTGGGGCTCCTGGGTGCTATGGTACAATCATCATCATCATCATCATCATCACCCCCCTATCTGCAGAGGGACCCAGACACAGCTGAACGGCTGCAGCTTCCCTGCACAAAGAGTGAGGCCGGACGGCAGGAGGCTGCACAGGGGATGTTCAGCCCCTGTATACACCACAGCTCCCAGCTCCCCTGTTCCTCAGCAGGCGCATGCTCACGTTACATGGACGAGCAATGGGATTGTGAAGGGGAAGGATGGATGTGGGAGAAGCTCTGAGGGATGAAAATCTCTCCCCAGGCCAGGGCTGGAGCTGTTAATAAAGTGTCCCTTCTAGACACTGCTGCTTTTCCCCATGGGCGAGATCCACAGGCCCCCATGTGCCAGCCCCTCTGCACCATCTAACAATAACACCACGTTATCAATGACTGGAGCTCTCCTGGTGCCTGAGCCTGCACGCGCTGCCTGTTTACATCACAACTTGTTCTTCAAGCTGTTGTTCGAACTGTCACTCATTAAAAAGAGACGGCATCTCCACTAGTGATGTTTGTGTTGCCTCTTTTACCTGTTCAATGCATCAATCTCAGCATATTGTGTAAAAAGAAAGGTGACCTCTTAAATTCTTTGGGACCGATTCTGCTCTGGTTTACAGCAGTGTAAATCTGGAGGAGCTCTGTTGCAGTCAGTGGAGTTACTCTGGATTTACTCCTGTACCTTTGAGAGCAGAATCCAGCACTTTCTATCCCCCTTGTTACACACACCTCTACACATATGATAAGGGCTGTTTCAAAGAGGATGGTGATCAATTGTTCTGCATGCCCACCAGAGGAAGGACAAAAAGTAATGGGATTAATCTGCAGCAAGGGAGATTTAGGTTAGATACTAGGAAAATCTTTCCAACTCTAAGGTTAGTTCAGCTCTGGAACAGGCGTCCGAGGGAGGTTGTGGAATCCCCGTCACTGGAGGTTTTAAGAACAGGTTGGACAAACACCTGTCAAGGATGATCCAGGTTTACTTGGCCCTGCCTCACCATAATGGGCTGGACTTGAAGATGTTTTGAGGTCCCGTCCAACCTGACATTTCTCTGATTCTATGAGTGCCAATAAAAAATGAATGACTAACGGTCTGAACCTGGTCCCATGTTACCCTGAGAACTGAACCGGGGCTACAGGAGGGCCCAGATTTCCACTGAAACTTAAACCTGAGGGCTGGAATAAATGGTGACTTGAACTCCCTGGTAATCCCATGATGCTTTGTGCAATACAAGAGCAGCTGCCTCTGGTGCCTTGGCCACCTTCCCATTTGGGAAATTTTTGTGGTTTTGATAAAGGTTTTTTTTACCTGAAAAAAGGTTTTTCCGAATGGTTAAAATTTTTCGTTTTGATATTTTACAAAATGAAAAATTCCAGTTTTCCCAGTTCGCAATGACTTCTTGCTTAGAAATTTAAGCTAATTATAGTTGAATTATTTTTTAAATTTAATATGCTCAAAATTGAAAGGAAACATTGCAAAACTGTGAAGAGAAAATGCCTCCACTCATCCAAACCAAAAATTATTTTTGGATATTTGGTTCAAGAAAATTATTGAGAGTTTGACTTTTCATCCCAATTCGAGATGGGAACATTTTTCGATATCTTAAAATGTGTGTGGGGTGGGAAATCCATTTTCTGCCCCAGCCCTGGTAATCACATGAGTGTAAAATTACTCCTGTAGCTGCAGTTGGCTACATTGCTCCTTTTCACTTCCTGCCCTAAGCCACTGCGCAGTGCTGCTGTGGGGCTGTCAGACAGCTGCCCTGCTCCACCCCCACAGTGCACGAAGAGATTTCTGTATACAGTGTAAGGGCCCAATCCTGCATGGTGCTGAGGTACCTAATGTGATGTGCTGGGCACCCACAACATTCTGCAAAGGCAAGGGGAGTGGTGGGTGCTCAGCTGCTTTTATGCTCAGCACCTACGTTCAGTTCCTTAAAGCACTGCACATTGGGATCCCTGGAGCAGTAAACAGGGCTTTGTACCATTGTCAGTCAGTGTTAATGGGTGGGATATAACAGGCCCTTACAGGAACTGGGCTGGGCAGACATTGTGCTCGAATAGTGTTATGATTTCTGTGGTCTTATCTGTACGACCACTGACAACCTTCAGCCCCTTAACAGCGACCCTGGGGACCGGATTCTCATTTGCACTAAGCCTCTGTCCACCATCGTAACACCCAGGGGCCTGGAAGTGGGTGTGGGTGTAATTTCTGCTCCTCTAAACTCCTGTTTACATTGGTGCAAAGGGGAAGCTGTGTCATTGTGAGTAATTGGGATAGAAATCAGGCAGAATCTTGGCCAGTCCAGTCGTCCTTCATCAGCCAAACTCCTGCTTCTACGTAACATTGCCTCAGTCAAGGACTGCAGGATTTAGCCCAGGTGGCTTCCCAACCATGGGAGGGAGGAAGGCGGGGAGGGAAATGGAAGGAAGAAGGAAGATGGTCCCCAGCATTAGAGAACTGCCTGGAAGGGGTTTGTGACAGATCGATCCAGGGGAGTTGCCGCCAGCCAGAGCAGCCTCACAAGCAGGGTGCGGGTTAAGGAGATGTGGCCAAGGCACCCGGAGATTCTGTTCTTTTTTGAGCCAATTGCTCTAATCACTAGTCCACGTTGCCCTCTGTTATCAGCTGTTTCAGAAGGGACATTGACAGATGCACTTTACTTCTCTCTCCCTGCTTTGTGCAGCCAGACGCAGCTTTCTAACCAGCCCCGTTCAGTTAATTTTAACCAGTTTATTGCTAGACTCAAGGGGTGGCGCTTAACTTCCATTGACTTCAGTAGGAGTGAGGCACCCAACCCTCTGAGCCGTGTTTGAAAATCCCACTAGGCACCTGTCTGCATTTATAGGCACCTAAATACCTTTGAAAATCTGTCCCAAAGTCACTTTTGAAAATGGGACTTACACTATTTTGAAAATCGTGTCTTATGTTGTCTTATTTCTCACACATGTCAGAGCTTTCAGTTTGATGATCTAAAGTGCAGTTAACAGTCCTCCAAGAGAAGACAACAAACAATCATTACATGTCTGCGTTGTGCCACCAAGAACTGTGCTACAATAAACCAAACATGGAAGGCAGGGGAGCGATTTAGCTTGGGATTGTCAAAGGACCTAAGTGGTTTAGGAGCAGTTTCCTTTGACAGTCAATGGGAGTTGTGCTCCGAACTCATGTGGGTTTGTTTATATAGATAATCTATACTCTGGATGTTTAATTATTCTGAATCATTATATACACCCCTGTGCCACTGGAATGCAGAGAAAATCTACAAGAAATGCTGTACCCTCTGTAGAGTCTTTAACCCACCCATCTTGTATCTATTACCACAGCACATCCTCCTGTGAGGCGTTCCTCACTGGACATAACCGAGACACTGAACCCAGTCACTGCAGCAGTGCACTAGGCATCAGCCTTTGGGCCAGTGAGTCAGGATTTTGTCTTACTATTTTTAGGAACATGATCTTTGCCGAGTATCTGGTTTTATCTTCCTTAGGTAAAACTTCTGCATTAAGCTCTGGAATTGGGAAAACAGCCTCTTCATTAGGACACTAGTATTGAATACTGTATCTATGATATGTTTTGAAACTTTTGCTGGATATTAATTGGATTTTCATTTACTTGTATAAAGTTATAGCAGTATTTTAAGCATTGAGAATAAATATGATCAGATTAAGTAAATTCTATTGCTGAGCTGTCCAGTCCATCTGCGGCACTTGGAGACCTGACGGACACTGACTATAACGATATTTTATTTCTCCAGTGCTAGGAGTGCAGTTATTTCTGCACCAGACTCAGCGGATCCAGTTTGTTGAAGTTAGTGACACCGCAAAGATCCACTGTTCTTCCAAAGAAAACTTGGAAGGAGGAAGTAACATGTTTTGGTATTTGAGAAGAGAAGGTGAGACACCCATATGCATTAAGCGCTGTTTGGATGATCAAAATGTAAGTAAATTTGCTTGCAAACACGAGACACACAGCTCGACCCTGGAAATCAGCAACGTCCAAAAGAATGACTCTGGCATTTACTACTGTGCATATAAATACAGCAGCTACCTGCTTTTCGGGAATGGATCCACGCTGCTTGTTGGAGGTAAGGAACCATATAGCTTGTTTAAGGAGACTGGTAACTGATTGACAAAGCATATTTCATATCCCCAATAAAATATAACAAGATAAAATAGCTATTGATGAATGGTTCAAAGGAAAGCATACTTTAAGCCAAATAAATCAGCTAAATATTAAATGCTATGGGTATAGAAGGAATATAATAACATTTATTGTTATAAAATATATGTGTAGAACTTGAAAGTGCCAAAAATAAACTATTGAAGTTTCTCTGTGACTGTTCAGGGCACCCAGTGATTGCATGATAGAATATTTTGGGTTAATGAAAAGTTTATAAAATTTACTCAATTTTCCTTCTAGTTAGTGCAGCTACGAACTGCGCTATGTCCTAGTTAGAGTTGAGGTAATTTAATATTTCCTTCTTCAGTAAATGTGTTTCTTTGAATTAACATCTTAGTTAATAGATATGCAGTGTTGTTGTAGCAGTGTTGGTCCTAGGATATTAGAGAGACAA